TCACTATGAGTTGGAAATGACTCAGTGGTACTTAACAACACTTACATATGCAAATAGATAATTGAAAATGTACCGGATAGATCCCTTCCATATTTTCCAGTATCTTAGTCATTAAAACAAAAAGATAATGAAATTCCGGTGCCACACACATGTATAGCAACACAAAGAGATCAAAGTATTCTTGCTTACCGTGCCAAACCGCCGCATGTCCGTCCCAGAGAGTTGCCACGGTTTTCCTTGCGCCATCCCATAAATTATGAGAATAAGCTTCCTTTAATACATTCTTCCTCTTATAAATGTGTAAGAAAATAATTGTAAGGTAGAGAAGGAATATAGTAAAGTAAGGAAGTATCAAAAGTATTAGTGGTGTAAAAACCCACAAGAGATAGTTTATAAAATTCAAATAGTCCTCCAATTGCTCCACACCAAACCATCCTCCAAGTATGTTAATCAGACAAATCATATAGGGCATAGAATCCTGCCCTGCATCACAGGTTTGATTTTTGTCTATCATTTTTCTTTAGGTGAAAATGATAAATTCTGTGTCTTTCTTCATTGTCATAGTAATTCTTTAATTCTGCACTAGAAGAGAAAAATAATCCAAAGTTATTATCTTTATAACAGAAAATGTTTTGGTATGCATAAATAATAATCATTTTGTAATGCCAAAATGAGTGAATGGTTAATGGTTATCTTTACTGCAAATGTAAATGTGAAAAGTACAGTTTCATTTGTTTGATGAAGTTTACCTTTTCAAATAATTTGTAAGCTATCATTAAGAGGTGAAAATAAAGCTGAAGAATGAAACTCAGATTTGTCTTAATAAACTGGCTCATTTCTTAGAGTGGATCACGTTAGATACATGCATCTTAAACTGGGTTAACTGCTCTTTACAAAATAAAAATACAAATATCTGATTCAGTATGAGAAATGCAATAATATTTCTGATAGTCTTTTATAGAGGAACAATTTTACAGAAAAGCTGTTATTTTAAAGCCGACATTACAGGATAATAAAAGTTTATCAGCATAATTTTTAAGTCACTGAAATTTTCTTAAATGATAAGTATATGAAAATGCAGCTATAAAATGCACTCTCTAGTCACCTGACTTAAAAGAAACTAGATAAGTATCTGAACCCAAGCTTCAGTGTATGTATTCTGAGAACCATAGTTCATATTATACCAATGATTTTGAAAACATTAAAACCAGTTAGTCCATACTATATCATTTTAAAGAAGCTCTGGTAGCGTAGTGGTTATGAATTGGGCTGCAAACCTTAAGGTCGGCAGTTTGAAACTACCAGCTGTTCTGCAGGAGAAAGATGAGGCTTTCTACTCCCGTAAAGATTTACAACCTTGGAAACCCTGTACAGGGTCCTTATGAGTCAGAATCGACTCCATGGCACATCACAACCATGATGATATCATTATCAATTCAAATACTTTGAGGACTGAAATAGAAAAGCAATTACATGTTGTCTTTATGCTAAGACCATCTTGCTTGTAGACTTGTTGTTAAGTGCCAACGAGT